GCAGCGGTAGCATCGAAGAGCTCATCGCGATACTGGGCGTAGGTGTCCCGGGAGCCTTCATCTGCTTCGCTTCCTTTTGTGCAACCTTGGTCTGTCGCTTCTCGGTCGGAGTGGTGTAAGTCGGCGGCTGGTACACCAGGATGGAGTTCCACTCGCTGAGCTTGCCAAGGTCCATCTTTGGCACCTGTTCCACTGCCTCGCAGCGCAAACACTTCGTCCATGCCCATTCGCTGTTGCAGCCGTGCTTGGTCTCCGGATGAGTGCACGTAGGGCTGCTCCGGAGCACAGGAGTCAAGAACTTGCTCCGCCCACGGTGTTCGACCAGCGGCCTCTTCTGATCCCCATGATCTTCCGGAAGAAAGGATCTCCGAGGTGGTCGATAATTCACTTGGTCCCCGGCCTCCGCCAGCAAAGCTTGCTCGCGACGTTGGATGTCCAAAGCTTTCCGTTGCAAGGACTCCCGCTGCAGCGCCAAACGTCGTACTCGTCGAAGTTGAGGCTGGACCATTATATTTTCGAAAGCCGAACGAGCTTGTGTGCACAGCACATAGAACAAGCGCAGCACACAGCGTCGCCACCGAAGGAGGCATCTCGACTTCTTGCCGCGTTCCATCAACGAGGGAAACAAAGAGCTCGGGGGAGGGCTTCAGGAACGGTCCTTTCACCTTCCAAATCTCACTCTTGAGAAAGTCATATTGCGCAGGAACTGACCATCCTTGTCCAAACTCGCACAGACTGACTGCAACATGCCCTGATGGAAGTCTGCTCATGTTCTGCACGACAGAAAGGCGCACATACGCAATCAGCAAGCTGGACATGTCGATCACTGCACCCAACTGGTCAAGGAAGTATGCAGGAACCAGGCACGGGACCCAACCAGGAACAACCTGCACCCGAAGTATGCCACCGCGACCCCCAATGCCAATCGGGATATACGCCACTTGAGTAATCTCCTCAGAGCCACACACTCCCCGAACGGTACCACCCTTCTCATCTGAGTACTGCACCCGAAGTTGATAATGATGTTGAAGGTAAAGGTCATGCCTAGTCAACGTTTCTCGACCAATCAACCCATGTTGTGCTGCAGTGTCCACTAGAGCAGTACCAACAGCATCGGAGTCACAGCTAGCATAGGTGTAAGACAGGAACGAGAGCATGTATTCCTCGGTGGGCGCAGACTGGTCTTGGTTGATGGCCTTTGCCATTTCTGGTGGATCCTGATCCAGATCCTCCGCTGACGAAAATCCTGTGAACACACTGCTTGCGCCAGGGCAGGCCGCACTGAAAAACTCCTGCCCAGCATCATCCACCTGACGGCTCGGGGCTCCCATGAAGAAAAGGTTTGTCGAAGGCCCACCAGGGCGGCCTTGCGCCGAGTTCTGGTTCATTGGTGGCCTTGGGCTCGACGGTGACGGCACCCTCCTTTTCTGAGGACAGTCCTTGGACCAGTGCCCCAGCTGCCGGCAATTGTGGCATCGGCTGCGGTTTTGTATCTCCTGCAGCGAAGTTCTTGGCCTGGACCCATTAGAGCCAGCACCCTTGCCGTTGCCAAAACCGCGGCTTGTCCGAGCATCTTGAAGAGCTTTCCTGTGGTCAGCGTAGGTGCCGTACACTCCAAAGCCTTTGCCACTTGAGCCCTTGAAGTCCTTTCCTTTGAACTTTCCTTTCCCTTTTCCTTTGCTCTTGCCTTTGCCTTTGCCCTTATGCCAGCGCTCAGCCGCAACCCCGTACACGAAGGACAAGAGCTCCCCCGCATAGGACACGGCCTCGTCCTCGTCCATCATCGCTGGCAAGGGGTCGTCGAGGCAGAGGTACACTGAGCCGTCGGCGTCGTCAACTTCAAGCAGATCTTCGAAGGGATCGGGCTCATCCGACACAGCATCCCCATAGTACACACTGTCCCAGTAGCTCAGGGCGGCCGGGTCGTCATCATCAGGAAGTTCCTCGCCATCCTCTTGCCAGAACGCACGATGACGATTAGCAGCCATCGCCTGGGCCTCGTCCACGGTCTCCCCAAACAGCTTACGGATGGCCTTCTCGACCTTCGGGAAGTCGATCGAGCCATCGGTGAGGACCTTGATGCGCTGCCTCTGGTCCTCGCTGAAGTTCCCCTGCCTCAGCAGGAGATGTCCTAAGAGATGGCTGCCGGCCGGACTGCTCAAAAGATCCAATCCTTGCCGCTTCAACTCACCGAACGCAGCCTTCTTGGTCGCGACGAAGCCACTGAGTGTCTGGTCGCCCCGACGTCGCCCCTTGAAGATCGCCTGGTCAAAGGCCTGCTCCAGCTTAGCGTCTCGTAGATAATCATGAGCATCCTCAATGATTCCAACGATCTTCTCATAGCCCTTCTCAGCCGTGATGTCTTCGACACTAAGATGAGCAAGAAGAGCAGCCAGGCGGCTTCCAAAAGGGATGCCGTCTATGATGCGCTTGCCGATGAGATTGCCGGGGAGGCGCTCGACCGCTTCCACCAGCCAAAGCCGAAGGTTCCGGGAGTATTCCCGGTACTTGGTTTCCGGCATCTCACCGTCCCACGTGGGTGCCGACTCCATCCGGTAGTCCACGAACTTCTTGGCCTGGACAGCATCGCCTCGGGGGGACAAAGATCGCTCCGCTCGTCTCGGCAGCACAGGCGAAGCTATCCCTTGCTGGCTTGCGGCAGCTTGCTCGCCACCATCCACAGTTTCCACCGACGGTGGCGTCGGCATCTTCAAAACTCAGCTGCCAAGCAGCTGCGTAACCACCAAGTCTCAGAACTGGCTTTCACAACCAGCCCTTCTTGGCACAAAGTTAAACTCCCAGCCGGTAGTCGACTGG